ATCTAGAAACCTCCTAATGAGATTAGGAGAAGGCTGATCTAATCTGCAATAAGATAAGGGTTTATCCTTATCACCTAAAGGGATGTCTGATCCAAATATGATTTGGATCAGCAACACCCAATTGGATTGGGAGCTGATCCTTTAGGGTTACAAAAGAAGGAAGGGGCGGCAGCCTTTAGAAGACACATATTCACATCCTCTTTAGAGCTGAAATCACAGAAGAAGGAATTAAGCAACCCTGCAGAATTCTTTCTTGCCGCCTCATTCTTCTTGCCACCTACCTTGCCAGTTCGATCTCCAGTTCAGTGGGAGAGTCAAGATTCGATCTTGACATCAGTTCTTTGAGAAAGAATTGATAGGAAGCTATGCTCACGTGCCATCCTGCTGTTTCTTGCGAAGGACAGAGTTCTTGGAGAAGAAAACTGTTGATTCTGCTCCATCCTGCACTACGCCATCTTCAGTGGGAGCAGTCTTTGGATCCTTCCTTGGGCGTGAACACCTTCGTTGGAAGATATTATTTCTCCGTATCAGGTATAATCCTCTCCTACTCCTTTTGGTTCAGATCTGGTTCAGATTATGATTCAAGATTGATCCTTGAAAATATGATTTTCTAAATAGGGAATTTGATTCCCAATTGAAAGGGAGGGAAATTTTTTTGAAATTCGCCCACCTTATTCTGCAAGATTTAGGCGTCCATACAATGGATCTCTCATCCCTTCACTGGGACAGTCAGAGATGGGTTAGTAGAGGGCTGACCTGTTTCCTCAGGAATGATGGGAGTGGCAAGATGCTCTTCTGAAGGAGTGAAAACAACCTGCACATGTTTGAATCTCTACCTTTGGTACCACCTTTGGAGAGCAGGAGCAGAAGGAGGAGCAGGGATATCAGAGGTAGGTCCAGTGGAAGAGGTGGACACCCCATGATCGGACTCACTAGGGATGGGAAGAGGAACAGCTGGAGACATAGCAAAGGGCTCACCAGATTTCTCCCCCTTAGGAGGAATACTAAAGAAATGAGTCAACTCGGCAAAGGTGACATCGCGAGATACAAAGCGGGTGCCATGAACTGGATCAAAACAGCAATAAACCTTCTATGTGGAAGCATATCCCAGAAACACACTTATGAGCCTTAGGTTCAAACTTGTGCCTTTGGTGACTATGAATATGCACATAGCAAGTACATCCAAACACACGGAGAGGAAGAGAAAAGAGATCCTCATCCGGGAAGAGAAGACTAAAAGGAGTTTTAAAGCCAAGGACCCGGGAGGGCATACGAGTGATCAGAAAGGTAGCAGTAAGAACAGCATCTCCCCAAAACTTTACAGGAACATGGGATGCAAACAAAAGGGATCTGGCAACCTCAACCACATGCCTGTTCTTTCTTTCCGCCACCCGTTTTGTTGTGGAGTGTAGAAACAAGAACTTTGATGAATAACCCCAAAAGTTTCAAGATAGGTGGAGAGGGTTCTCTTAAAATACTCCTTAGTATTGTCAGAGCGGAATATTATGATACGAGTATTAAACTGGGTGAGGATGAGTTCATGAAAATTTTTCACAATARCTRGTACTTCATCCCTGGATTTCATGAGATAAATCCAAGTGTAACGCGAATAATCATCAATAAAAA